AAGGTCAGTGGTTCTAACCCACCCGCCGCTTCAAGGGAGAAGACTTGCAAATCTGCCTCCATAAACATTCGAGTCTCAGAAAACCACGGAGGAGTTCTGCTCTGCCCCACAGGGTTGCTATGAGTGGATTGGCTTAACAGCAGCAGGTTGGTTTTCAGGTTTTGATCAGCTGACTTTCAGTAAAGAAGCTTATCCTAGCTGGGCCCCATGTAGTCATCGGGGTCTTTGAAAAATGGAAAAGAGAAAGATGAGAGAGAGGGAGTCAAGAGCCTTTTTAAGGAAATAAAAGAAAGAACTAAGAGACAAAGGGCATTACAGAGGTCTAAATACAGGCATGTATATATGTAAATATATTTATATATGACGATGGGGCAATAGATCTATGTGCATATATTTATAGGTTTAATATTAAGGTAGCAGATGGACATTGGGCCTCCACTCAAGTACTCCCTCAATGCAAGAACACTTTGTTTTATTAAACTAGAATTCCATGATGCTCACCTTCCCGACATGATCTCTGAAGACAAATGGGTGCATAAGTAAATGTGGTGAAGAAAACTGATGGTACCTAGCTATCAAAAGATATAGCGTCTAGGGTCTTAAAGGCTTGAAGATAAATGTGTGGCCATCTATCTCAGAAGCAACAAAACCCACATGGAAGAAGCACACCAGCCTGTGTGATCATGAGGCGTCGAAGGGATCAGGTATCAGGCATCAAAGAACAAAAAAATCATATCAGTGTGAGTGAGGGGGAGTGTGGAGTGGGGACCCAAAGCCCATCTGTAGGCAACTGGACATCCCTTACAGAAGGGTTGCAGGGAGGAGATGAGCCAGTCAGGGCGCAGTATAGGAATGATGAAACAACTTTCCTCTAGTTCTTAAATGCTTCCTCCCCTGCACTGTCATGATCCCAATTCTACCTTAAAAATCCAGCTGGACCAGAGGATGTACACTGGTACAATAGGAACTGGAAACACAGGGAATCCAGGGCGGATGATCCCTTCAGGACCAGTGGTGAGAGTGGCGATACCTGGAGGGTGGAGGGAAGGTGGGGTAGAAAGGGCTAACCGATTACAATGATCTACATACAGCCCTCTCCCTGGGGGATGGACAACAGAAAAGTAGGTGAAGAGAGACATTGGATAGTGTAAGACTTGACAAAATAATAATAATTTATAAATTATCAAGGGTTTATGAGGGAGGGGAGTGGGGAGGAGGGGGAAAATGAGGAGCTAATACCAAGGGTTCAAGTAGAAAGTAAATGTTTTGAGAATGATGAAGGCAATAAATAAATGAATATGCTTGACACAGTGGATATATGTATGGATTGTGATAAGAGTTGTATGAGCCCCCAATAAAATGATTTTAAAAGAAAAATATCGAAAGTTTAAAAAAAAAGTCTCTTTAAATTGGAAAGGTCAAGGAAACAGATTCTCCCCTAATCAAACCCCAAACTAAACTCATAGTGACCCTGTACGCTATCTGAGACTGTAAGTCTTGACACAAGCAGACAGTCTTACATTTTATTTCTCCTGTGAAGCAACTGGTGGATCTGAACCCCTGACCTTTCAGTTAGCAGCCCAAAGCCTAGCCTGCAGTGCTACCAGTACTCGTTCAGTCTTCCCCTCTCAAAAAACACTCATTGCCATCAAGTCACGTTCGACAAGAGTTTCCTCTAGTGCCCTGCAGACGCAAGACGGGCCTGCTGGCACCTTGGTTCTAGAGACGCTATCGGTCTCCTGACCCACAGTTTTTCTGGAACAGTAAGGCCACGAATATGTGCCGTTTCAAGCCACCATGTTTATGGTAATAGATTCTGGCAGTGAATGAAAACTAATATATCTGAGCCGAAATCTAGAGCGCTTCAAAGTGAAAGGCAACTGGATATTGATTCTGTCCCATTAGAGACCAGACAGCTTCACAGCACAGCTTGTCTGGAATGCCTGAGGCCAGCCTGCTCAGGAGACATTTTGGCGTTTGGAGTCCAGACAGCTCAGCTCACCACAGCGCACACCTGGCCTCTGGATACTCTCTCATTTATTTTTCCCCTGACCCTTTGGATGAAAGGATGTATAATTGCATAGCTAGGTTTTGTGTCAACTTGCCTGGGCCAGAATTCTCAGAGGTTTGGCAGTGAAAGACCCAGCTACCCTCCATGGTGTGATCGAAGTCAATGTAATCACCTCTGTCATATCATCTGCTACAAGCAGCCCCACAGTTGTAAGAAGATTAGGGTGGGATGCAGCACCCTTTCTCAGATGACAGCTCTGACACCACCAACGGAGAGGACGTTTCCTTGGGAGGGTGACTTCTCCCCATAAAGCAGACGCTGCGGTGGAAAAGCTTGCTTGGTCTTTTGCTGGGTTTGGATCTTGCATCTGGTTCCAATTCTTTGGACTTGAGCCGATAGCCCACCAGACCCACCAGACGGCCTGCTGAGCTCAGGGGCCTGCCACCTGACCTGTGGATTCATTCACCTATGTAGCCACCAGTTGTGTTCTTTCTGGGGATTTTGGATTCACCAGCCCCTCCTCCCATCCCAGCTATGAGAGTCAGGAGAAGCCTCCAGCCTAACGTCTGAACCATGAACTTGGAACCTGCCAGGACTTGGATTTGCCCTCATCTACAACTGTGAGTAATTGTCTTCATGCAAGTTTCTCTCTCGCTGTAGACACATCTATGTGCTTCTCTGGAGAACCCAGCTGAAGACAACAGTACATATTTATTGGGTCTTTCACGGGGTCTATGGTGTCATAATGCTTGGCAAGCCAACCTCTTCTCCATTTATCATGATGTTGGTAAGTAACCCTTGGTAGGTTGGTCCAGTTGTAAGGAGCTTGGTCTTCCTTACATTAAGTTGTAATCCAGACTGAAGGCTATGATCCTTGATCTTCATCAAGTGCTTCAATTCCTCCTCACTGGCGGAAAGCAAGGTCGTGCCACCTGCAAACCACAGACTGTTAGTCCACCTTCCTCCAACCCTGATGCCACAGTCTTCTTCATAGAATCCAGCTGCTCTGATGATTTTCTCAGCCTACAGATTGAGCAAGTGTGGTGAGAGGATACAACCCTGACACACACCTTTCCTGGGCTTAAACTGCAGTATCCCCTTGTTCTTTTTTGCACAACTGCTGCTGGATCCATGTGCAAGTTCCGAAAGTGTTCTGCACTTCCCATTCTTCCCAAGGTTATCCACAGATTATTATAGTCCACATAGGCGAATGCTTTTGCATAGTCAATGAAACACAAGCAAGCATCTTTCCGGTGTTTTCTGCTTTGAGCCAAGATCCATCTGACATCAGCAATGAGATCCCTTGTACCACATCCTCTTCTGAGTCCTGCCTGAACTTCTGGCAGTTACCTGTTGAAGGTTGACGTTGTCAAGGAGCTTGTTTAACTTGGTCTATATTCAATGCTCATGGAAGAAGTAGTCAAGAGATCAAAAGACATATTGTATTAGGTAAATCTGCTGCACAAGACCTCTTTAGGGTATTGAAGAGCAAGGATGTTACTTTGAGGACAAAGATGCACTTGACCTGAGCTATGGTATTGCACATTGCCTCCTATGCATGTGAAAGTTGGGCATTGACGAAAAATGACTGAAGAAGAATCAATGCATTTGAATTGCGGTGCTGGTGAAGAATATTGAAAGTACCATGGACTGCTAAAAGGACAAACCAACCTGTGTTGGAAGAAGGAAGGCCAGGGTGCTCCTTATAAGATATAAGACTTTGTCTTATATCCTTTGGACATGTTGTGAGGAGAGACCAGATGCTAGAGAAGGACCTCACACTGGGTATAGTATTAAATTAAAAGTGGCGCGGAGGGAGGTGGGGGAGGAGCCAGCCCCTACCACTAATCGTGGGTTCAATAATACTACTTCTGGGTTCAGTAATGCACAATTGTACGGTTGAGATATATAAATATTATATTAAAGTCATCGAGAGCATGAGAGATATTACAATAATGCAGTCAGACACATTACATGGTAGCATTGCTCACCTCAGCCCAGCTTGGTGGTCCACGTGGAGAGAGGGGGAAGGGAAGGAGGACAAGGGAACAAGGGAGAGGGGGAAGAGTGGGGAGCCAGAGAGAGTCAGAGAGGTCCGAGCCCGAGAGCTCTATATTGCTGACTCACGCCGATATATCTTTTGGGGGCATGCCAGCCCACTAATTACAGGTAGAGACATACCTCACAGGGAGGAGCTGCACTATAGGTTACACAGCAATGAGAGGGTGGTCTAGGGGGTGGTCTCTGGGTCTCCATAGGAACCATTATCAGTAGGGTGCAAACTCTGCCTACAGGAGCCTGTCCTTTGTCCCCAGAGGCAGGGAGCAGGCCCACCCCTGTGGTGGGAAGAGACAGCAGTCTGGCAACTGATTGCCTTCAGGGGAGGGAATGCCTGCGTATCTGACCTCCCCCCCCAGCTGGGTAAAGTGGAGGGACAGTGAAAAAGAGGAAGGCCCCCAGGCCCTCGATGAGATGGATGGACACAGTGGCTGCACCAATGGGCTCGGGTGCAGGAACCGCTGTGAGGGCGGTGCACGACCGGGCAGTGTTTCCTTCTGCTGTGCATAGGGTCGCTCTGGTCGGAGCTGACTCATGGCACCTAACCACAACAGTGTGGTGTGACATGGCATTAGACCTGCATTGGCTATCCATTTCAAAGATCTGTCCATAGAGGAACATCAGAGTCAAGACGAAAAGTCTTTGAAATCTTTTAATAATAGCAGAAAATGCTCTCCCTCCCTCTTTTAGGAATGTCCCTGGCTCATATATGTTTTTGGTTTGTGTAGAGTGTGGTTCAGTGTCAACGTTCAGGATGCTGTGGGGTACAACTCAAGATTCAGGGGCTGCTTGGAATCATGGGCTTGCTGACTGATTCGCGTTCCTTTCCTTTACCACAGGTCACTCTGTAACTGTGCCACAGCACCCCTACCATTGTAGCATGGCTGCTGCCATCTGTGTGCAATGTCCCACCACTCACTGAGGAACGTACCGGATACCCAGTGACAGCTGCCAGGTCCACCGCCAACTCACACGACGTGATCAGATCCTCCATCATGAGCAAAGCTTGTTGGAGCTCGGCTGAGAATGCGGAATCCTGGGTCTTCTTTGGCCGATCCTGTGGACACCAATACACCTTGTTGGAAACCAAAAGATTCACCATCTACTAACCTTCCTAATGCCTTGATCCTTTCATACAGTTCCTCATGTTGTGGTGACCCCCCAACCATAACATTATTTTTGTTGCTACTTCATAACGGTAAATTTGCTACTGTGATGAATTGGGCAACCCCTGTGAAAGGGTCGTTCGACCCCCCCAAAGGGGTCACGACCCACAGGTTGAGAACCACTGTACTAAGCGGAGGAGGACAACAGGACAGATGAATGGGTCCAGCCTGCACTGAAGTGACTGAGAAGGCAGGTACATTCCTCTGTTTCCTTATTCCCAGCGGATGGTGACTACAGACATCTGCGGATTTAGGCCTATGATCTGTAAGAGCAAACAGGAACCCACTGATGCCAAAGCAACCCATCCTGACTCATGACCACCCAGGTGTCACCGGACAGAACTGCCTCATCGGGTGTTCCTGGCTGTACTCTTTATGGAATCAGATCCCCAGTATTTCTTTCACGGAGCCACTGGGTGCATTCAAACTGCCAACCTTTAGTCTTGTAGTGGAGCACAATCATTTGTGGCCCCACCCTCTGGGTACTATGATATATAGATGGACAGAGTCCACCAAGCCTTCTGGACCGCGTCCTAATACAGAACAAACTTCTTGAAAGCATGGGCATCATACTCCTGCTTTACAAAGAACATACAGAACTTGGCTTTTTTAAAGCACAAAGAAGAGGCGCTCTTTTAAAAATGGGCTGCTCCCCATTTTACATTCAACTTCTGGGGGCAAGGAGGGTTGTTGAAAAGAAACCATCTGAACATCAATTTCCTATATTTCAGATAGAAGTCTTATCGCGGTAGGTAAAATTATACTTAGATTCTAGAACCACTCTAGAGGAGAATTTTGGAAAAAAGTCCCTCACCCCCCACAATGCAGACAAAGAATGGCTACCAGGTGGAGGTTCACTAATGATTGACACCATCAAAGCCACATTGGGCACCTTTAACCACCCCTCCCCCATTCCAGCTTCCTTTCTTTCCCCACAGAGCTGAAAGATGCCAGAGATCACCAGCGTTGTTGCCACCTCCCCATCAGTGGAAAAGTAGTAGCTGCTCACGAAGAGACTGACGGTCAACCATCACCACCGGGCACTAGGGCATGATGGCGATCACGGTTTCAGCTTGAGAGACATTTGGTTACCTACATAGAATATGATCTGTGGCCCAGCAAACGCAAACGCAAAGATCCTGGTTTCCTTTTGTGTGTTTGTAAACATTTCAAGTCCACGACAAAGTTCCCCAGGTAGCCCCACCTCTTGTTGCCCTTGGAGTAGGCTGCAGTTGAACGGGTTGTGCAATT